TACAACAGTGGCACCATATAGCATTTGTCCCTTTGTGACTGAGATACCTCACTCAGCATAATGTCCTCCAGGGTCACCCATTTTGAATAATATTGCCTGAGTTCCTTGTTTTTCAATGCAGCATAGTATTCCATTGGCACAGTGAATTTTAAGACATTGAAATTTATAGCCGTAGCTCGATGCTTACTCTTGGAGGCCCAATTATCATCCCTGTCCATCCTGTGTCATGTCTTCGTCATCTTCTAGACCCCAGCTAACTGTGCCATCTCCTACTCCTTTCTGGCCTTCTTCTAGTTCTTCCAACAGTCAAAAATTGCAAGAGACTTTTACTCCCGAGCCCATGGTGGCTGCCATCTTGCATCGCTGTCGCTGGAAGGCCCAAGTGTTCAGGTCATAGGGTTGCTATGAGTCATCTACAATATGACGGCACCTAACAACTACAACAACAACCTGATTTACTGTATAAACATTCATCAAAAACATATTATTTTTACAACCTAAACTGTAACCTTAAACCTAACTATAGCACTAACACTATATTTGTTGTTACTGTTGTTGTCATGTGCCGTGGAGTCGCCTGCGACTCATAGCGACCCTAGGTACAACAGCCCTAAACTTTGCTCTGTCCTGTGCCAATCGAACTGTGTCTGACACTCCCATCCCAATTATCCCAGTCACTGAATCAATCCACCTCATAGAGGGCCTTCCTCTCCTGTGCTGTCCCTCCACGCTCCCAAGCATGATGTCCCTCTCCAAGGACCTGTCTCTCCTTACAACATGTCCAAAGTATGTCAGATGAATCCTCAGAATCCTTGCCTCCAAGGAGCCACCCAGTTTAACCCTTTCCAAGATGAATCTGTTTTTCTATCAGTACATGGTATTCTCAATACTCTTCTCCAGCACCATGGCTCAAAGGCATCAATTCTCCTTCTGTCCTCCTTAGTCATTGTCCAACTCTCTGATGCATAACAAGTGATAGCAAAGACCAGGGCCTGTATCAGAAGCACCTTAGTCTCCAAAGAGACACCATTGCTCTTCAGTACTTTGGAGAGGTACAAAAATTATTATTTTAGCTAAATTGATTTCCTTAGGAAATCTGTTTTCCGGTATCCTATGATTCAGTTACATTCTTCCCCATCCCCACCCCTACCTCCAACTCCCCTTTTTTAACATTTTCATTTCAGGGACAGAAAACATTTCTTACAAGTATTTCTATGTTCAACAACATTGGTACAAATTTTTTTTTATATGACAAAATAAAACTCAGTGTCTTTGAGTTGTGGTGCTGGAGAAGAGTACTGACAATACAATGGACTACCAAGAGAACAAACAGATCTGTTCTAGAGAGGGCAAAATCAGGCCTGCTCCTTGGAGAAAAGGATTTTGAAGCTCTGTCTCACATACTTTGGGTATGTGGTCAGGAGGGACCAGTCCCTGGAGATGGACATCAGAATGAAAAGGTGGAGGGACAGACAGCGCAGGAAAGGAAGCCTCAGATGAGATGGATTTACACAGTAACTGGGGTAATGGAGGTAGGTGTGTCTGGCTCAGGATAGAGCAAAATTCAGAGCTATTATAGATAGGGTTGCTTTGAGTTGCAAGCGACTCAATGGCATATATCAACAAAGTTCGAAAAATATTCAGTCATTGGGTTGTACAATTTGATGGGTGGGAGGTGAGGAAAATTGAAAGAATTTGTTCACATTTATATTTGAATTATGTAAATAAACTAGTAGAGAGAAAAAATAAATAAATTAAAAACAAAACATATTCAAATATTTTACTTTTTAGATACAATTTTCTTTAGAATAATTTCTAAGATTTTGGTAACAACTGGCTATGGTATCTAAAGAATAAATTAAAACAGAAGAGGCATACTTACTTCGGGCATCTGCTTTATCTGATTCACTCTGACATAAGTCATCCTTGGCATCAGTGCTTCCTTCAACATCATGTCTTATAAAAAACTTAATGTCATTTTCATCAATTTCATTTTCATCATCTGTAGCGTATTTCTGTGGTCCCTCTAATACCTTTACTGCTGCCAAATGGGCAAACCTGTAGAAAAGACTTAATAATTAATTAATGCAATACATAATTGTCTTCAAGCTAAAACAAGAGTTTGCACTAAGAGCACCACATTCTGTACTTTATGTACTGATGGTGTAGTGCTTGCGTCCTCAGCTGCTAACCAAAAGATCAGTGGTTCAAACTCATCACCTGATTCATCAGAGAAAAATGAGGCAATCTGCTACATTTCATTATTATAGCCTGGGAAACTTCATGGAGCAGCCATGCTAACATCCTACAAGGTAGCTGTAAGTCAGAGCCCGCAAAGTGTCATACAACAGCACCACTAGGCTAAGAACCCACCAACTGGAAAGAGCAAAGCTGTTTCTGACAGTCAGTGATACTTATGCTGAGTGGAAAAGGTCAGATATAAAAGAAAATGTACTCTAAAAGTCCACCTCTAGAAAACTTAAACTACCTCTCATGGTCTAGTGGCAAGAAACTGTGTTGCAATCCCAAAGGCATGCAGTTCGAGACCACCAGCCTCAGGAGAAAAGAGTGGGCAATCTCTTCCTGTGTGATTATCTGCCTCTGAAAACCCATCAGCTGTGTGTTGGTTCCAACTCTGTGGTACACAACAATATACTGACAAAACAATCAGTGGTTGTTTAAGGGCAAGTGGAATAAGAAGAGGAGAGATGATAAGGGGTACAGCAGATTACAGAATAAGAAATAAATTCTATTTGATTGTGATAATAGTTTTAACTTATATGTTGGTGTTAAATGCCACTGAGTCAACTACAACTCAAAGGGACCCCATCGACAACAGATCTCTACTCTAACCTGCACCATGCTCTCTCCCCACCATGCTCAAGCTCACTGTTACAGTCACTATGTCAATCCATCTTGCTGAAGTCTTCCTTTCACTAACCTTTTCCAGCATAATGTCTTTTTCCAAGAAATCATACTACCTGACAATGGCCAAAATATGTGAGAAGTCTCATCAACCTTGATTCCAAGGAACACCCTGGCTGCACTTCCCCCGTTACAGACTTGTCTGTTCTTTTGGCAGTCCATGGTTATTCAAAATTCTTTAACCAACACTGCAATTCAAAGGGATTGATTCTTCTTTGGTCTTCTTTATTTACTGTCCAACTCCCAGATGCACAGAAAGCTATTGAGAAGACCATGGCTTAGATCAGGCTCAACCTAATCTTTAAACTGACATTCTTGCTCTTTGCTTCAAAGGTCTGTGATGGCAGATTTTCTCAATGCAATAATACATCTTTCTCTCTGTAGATGTTCATTGAAATGAAAAATAAACAACCTAAATTAAAGAAAAAAAAAAAAGATACCAATCTCTCCACAACTGTACCAGCATTTATTGTTTGCTGCTCTGTTGTTGCTGGGGTGAGATGGTATAGTTATTTTGATTTTCATTTCTCTGATAGCTAGGGGTTTTGAACATTTTTTCATGTTCATGTGCTTGTTTGCCATCTAATGTCTTCTGTGGTGAAATGTTTATATAAAACAGGACTAATAAAAAAAGAACAGGACTGATATGGGAGGATAACAGACTAAGAGTGGATAGATCATGAACACTGCATTAGAAAAGACGAAGGGAAGAATTTGTATGATTAGGTATTATATGTGTGACAACAGTCCAGAATAAGAGGCACATTGTGAAGAGGACAGGGGGAGGGGAAAGAAGGTGGAAGGGTGGTAATTGTACAACAATGAATGAATATTAAAAGAAAACATGAACTGGGGTGAGGGAATGTACAATGAATGAAAATCAAACTTTTCTACAAACTTTAATTAAAATAAAAAATTGCATTAAAAAAAATAATACAGCTTTCGATTTCTTAGCTGCAGTTACCTTGAGTGTTGATTATAGATCTATGTAAAATTAAATCATTGACAGCTTTGCTCTTTTCTTCATGTACTATGATGTTGCCCATTGATTCAGTGGCAAAGATTTTTGTGTTCTTGATGTTGAGATGTAATGCATATTGAAGGCTATACTCTTTTTTCTTCTTCACCAAGTACTTCAAATCTTCATGTTCTGCAAGCAAGGTTCTGTTTTCTGCCTAATGTAGATTATTGATAAGACTTTCTCCAACTCTGATGTCATATTCTTCTTCATGTAGTATAAAAGTTAATTTTGTGTACTCAAGATCATAACCCCCTTGAGAGAAGGGATTGTGTTTTTTTCATATTTGTAACCTAACAACTGTCATAGGACAAGAAGATGATGGGTATATGGGAAGCTGAATTAAAAAAACAAATGAATGAGTGAAATAGTCCTTAAAGGTCCTAGAATGAATGAGCTGATGTTGTTGTCTGTCATCAATAGCTGACTCTCCAACGGTCTCCAGAGGTAGTAAATGGCATGGTAGGAAGACTGTCCAACCTTCATCCATGGAGCATCTGATGGATTCAAATCACGTGCCTTTGGGATTGCAGTGCAGGTTCTTACCACTAAGCTACCAGAGCTCTGATGGTATTCGATAATAGGTGTTAAACTCATTCAAATGCAAATACCAAAATAGGTTTTAAAACCCATGAGATTTTGTTTCATCTATTGTGATTACACCATTTTATCAAACAATATTTCTCAGCAGAAATTCTACAGGTATTTGAGTGGGACAAACCTTGACTATTCAGTACTGTTCTGAGTACTTATGTGTTCAGCATTGATGGTATCAAGTCACTGTAACAGCCCCACACGCACTTTTCTGAATGTATCTCATCACCCTCACAGGGAAAGAAGTAATACTGTTTCCCAATTGAGAATCACTGCTTTAGAGAGAAAAGCTGATGTGTTGGCAAATGGCAATTTAGTTTGAGATTTTTCATTCCATTACCCTTTGTCAAATGCAATAATGGTTACCCATGGTGGACAGTGTTTGGTCGAGCTCCCCAGTTAAAACAAGCTTGGAATCAGGAGTGGCATCCACTTCCAAAATACCTTGCCTCCAGAAACTCTATGAACTTGGAGAAATGATGAAGTTATACAAGTGTTCAGGTCTTTCACTAATAGGGTCGCTATGAGTCACCTACAACTCGACGGCACCTAACAACAACAATCTAGATACAGAGTTGGCCTAGTGGACAGAAAGTTATGGTACCAAGCCAAAGGTGGATGATTTTAATCTGCGGCCCTCAGGCCAGGTTTTAACTGTTTTTGGTGAAACATTCTTCTAGGTCGTATAGCCCTGGTCTGTCCACTTGCTGTACAGAAGTAACTTGTGGTTGCTGTGATCCTAAACACTGTGACACTCATGTGTCAAATACATTAATGGTTATCAATGGTGGACAGTGTTTGGTGGAACTCCCTGATTAAAACAAGCTTGGAAGCAGGAGTGGCATTCACTTCCAAAATACCTTGCCTCCGGAAACTCAATGAACGTGGAGAAATGATGAAAGTTATACAAGTGTTCAGGTCTTTCATTCATAGGGTCACTATGAGTAGTCTATGACTCGACAGCACTGAACAACAACCGCCTTTGATTGATTCTTGTAAATCAATTAAATCATCAATATATATATAAATATATAAAACTTTAAAAGCAAAAGAGATGAACACAGCAAAGGAGGGATCTATACCTTTTAGCCACATCACTAGGTTTCTCCCCAGCTTTGTTGGTAACATCACTGTCTGCTCCCATTTTAATTAGCCACTGCAAACATGCTATGTGTCCTTGTCCAGCAGCTGAAAGAAAACACGGGAAACAGAAAAAAGCTGCTGCAGTTATTATTTTTTTCTAAAACTTTGGGCAGAACCATGCACAAAGTAGGTGTACTTTTTAAGCACCAAATTCCTATCAATGGTTCCTATTCTGTAACAATAAATATGAAACTATTTTTTAAAAAAGACTGAGAAAAACTGAGGTCTACAGAGATCAGGTGCCTTATCTGAAGCTTTACAACCGGTTACTACAGGTATTTACAAGGAAAGCACACTGTTGCTTCATGAAATTGCAACCAAGATTCAATAAGATTTCTGCACTCTTAGTGTCATACAAAAATAGGGTATTACTATTAAATCCCATTAACAGTTCTCAATATTTTTAGCCTTACAACTTTTTCTACTATCCCATTCTTATTACTAAATTGTTACTGCATATGTTTTAACAAAATACATTTTTGCAGAGCCATAGAGGTTCAAATTTAAGAAATGAGCTTTTTAACTCCTCTCTTTGCAAACAAAAGGAAAACCCCAGGATAGCTTTATTGGATATTTAATTCAGAGTCCCAAATTTTACACTAAGGAATGATAACAGAGAAAGACTTTGACCTTTAACCTTTGGTCGGGTGATGTGAAAGGAGTTTCCCAGCCTTTCATAGCCCTTTCCCCCCTCTTTGAGTGCTTGGGGCCAACTTCCTTCCCTCTTCTTGGCCTTTGCTGCTCCTAGCTCCACATATGGCCAACATCAAGGGCTTCGGAGACCTCAAGACCACCGCCAGCCTCCAGGTCCTCAACGATTTCCTGGCAGACAAGAGCTACCTCGAAGGGCATGTCCATCACAAGCAAATGTGGCAGAGTTTGAAGTCATCTCCAGACCCCCACCTGCCGACCTGCCCTCCACTGGTATAATCACATCAAGTCTTACGAGAAGGAAAAGGCCAGCTTTCCAGGAGTGAAGAAAGCATTGGACAAGTACGGCCCTGCTAATGTGGAAGACACCACAGGAGGTGGGGCTGCACACAGTAAAATGACTATGACATTGATCTCTTTGGATCTGAGGACGAGGAGGAAAGTGAGGAAGCAAAGAAGCTAAGAGAAGAACGCCTTGCCCAGTGTGAATCAAAGAAAGCCAAACAAATCTGCCCTTGCTGCCAAGTCTTCAATCTTACTAAACGTGGAGCCTTGGGATAATGAAACTGACACGGCAAAACTGGAAAGAGTGTGTTTAGTCTGAGGGTCTTCCAAGCTATGACCAGTGGGATATGGAATTAAGAAGCTTCAGATACAGTGTGTAGTTGAAGAATGATAAAGATGGCACAGATATGCTGGAAGAACAGATTACTGCTTTTGAAGACTATGTGCAGCCAATGGACGAGACTGCTTTCAACAAAACCTAAAGTCCATCTGCATCCAACAATAAAAACTTAAAAAAAAAATATATATGTATATATATTTTTTTGCCATTGTTTATATGTCTTATAATAGTCTCTAGTTGTTTCTTGGTATAAATAAGTAGCTCAGTCACATATATCTCTACAATGTAGACATGTAATTTATGCTAAAAATGGAGCCATCTCTGCAAAATTAATTACAGTGGGAACTGATAAGAATTTGTTTTCACTAGTTGTTAAGTGTTGTCGAGTCTAAACTGACTCATAGCTGACCCTCTGGCAAGCTTTGAGTGGCTCAAACATTCATGGGAGGTGACAATTTTGGTACTCATAAAAACACTCCAATCTCCAACACTGGCGAGAGAGAGGGGAGGACACAGAATCCGATAAGTCATGAAGCAGCCCACAGACCAAATGACAGACAGACTGCAAGAACTGTTATCAGACCCTCTGCCTGACGAGGAACCATTTGTCAAACTCATATCTGTCTCCTTAAAGAGTTTAGTGTTTCTCCCTTTTACACAGACAACCTGGAACCAGTTAACATACTGTAGGATTTCCCAGACCTCTAGAAATAAGTCTCCTTAAAACAAAAATTGCCACATATCCTTTCTTTTCTATCTTTAAAGAGTTTGAAAGTTCTATTATGAATCAGTCATAATAATGAGTTGTATAAAATGGAATGAGGCTAGCCTAACATTTCCATTTTATCATACAATCAATGCTTTATAAAGCAGTCAGTATATTTCACATCTTTGTTGTTGTTGTGCCATCGAGTCGCTTGCAACTCATAGCAACCCTATGTACAAGAGCTCTAAATGCTGTTCTATCCTGTGCCAACCTAGCCATCTCAAATGCACTTATTCCCACTGCTCCAGTCACAGAATCGATCCATCTCACCAAAGGTCTTCCTCTCCTTCGCCTCCCCTCCACTCTGCCAAACATGATGTCCCTCTCCAAAGACCAGTCCCTCCTTGCAACATGCCCAAAATACATCAGACGAAGCTTCAGAATCCTTGACTCCAGGGAACACTCTGGCTTCACCCTCTCCAGGACAAACCTGTTTGTTCTCCTAGCAGTCCATGGTATATTCAACACTCTTCTCCAGCACCACAGCTCAAAGGCATCAATCCTCTTTCTATCAGCCCTATTCACTGTCCAACTCTCTGATGCACAGCATATAATTGCAAAGACTATAGCCCAGATCAGGCACACCTTAGTCTCCAGCCTGACATCGTTGCTCTTCAGTACTCTTGAGAGGTACCTCACAGCCGAATTTCCCAATGCAATTTGTCTCTTGATTTCCTGGCTGCTGTTACCAAGAATGTTGACTGTGGAGCCAAGTAAATTAAAACTGTTAACTATCTCAGTCTCTTTACCATCCATGCTGATGCTGCCAATTGGCCCAGTGGTTAGAATCTTTGTTTTCTTGACATTTAGCTTCAGTCCATATAGGAGGCTGTAGTCTTTGATCTGCAGCAAGCGCCTCAGGTCCTCCTCAGTTTCAGCAAGCAGGGTTGTATCATCTGCATAACGCAGGTTGTTGATGATTCTTCCACCAATCCTGATGCCACATTGCTCTTTGTATAGCCCAGAGTCTCGGATGATCTGTTCTGCATACAGATTGAAAAGGTATGGAGACAGAATACATTCCTGAAGAACCCCCTTCTTGATTTTGAACCATGTAGTGTCTCCTTGCTCTGTTCGGGCAACTGCCTCTTGGTCCAAGTATAAGTTTCGCATTAGCACAATCAAATGTTCTGGGATTCCCATTCTTCTTAGAGTCAGCCACAGCTTGTTGTGATCCACTCCGTCAAAAGCCTTTGCATAGTCAATGAAGCACAGATAGACATTCTTCTGGTATTCTTTGCTTTCTGCCAAGATCCATCTGACATTAGCTATAATATCCCTAGTACCACAACCTCTTCTAAATCCAGCCTGTACATCTGGCAGTTCTCTGTTGACATATTGTTCCAAACGTTTTTGGATAATTTTCAGCAGAATCTTGCTTGCATGTGATAGCAATGATATTGTTCGATAATTTCTGCACTCTGTTGGGTCACCTTTCTTTGGAATGGGAACAAATATCGATCTTTTCCAGTCAATGGGCCAGCTGACTGTTCTCCAAATTTCTTGGCACAACTTAGCGAGCACATCCAGGCTAGCGTCTGTTTGTTGAAATATGTCAGTTGATATGCCTTCAACTCCTGGAGCTTTGTTTCTTGCCAATTCCTTCAGAGCAATTTGAACTTCCTCTTTCATCACCATAGGCTCTTGCTCATATGTCATTTCATGAAATTCTTCTGTGTCAGCCAATTCCTTCTGATACAGTGACTCTGTGTATTCCTTCCATCTTCTCTTGATACTTTCTGGATCATTTAATATACTGCCCAAAGTATCCTTAAGTATTGCCACCCATGGTTTGAATTTGTTTTTCAGCTCCTTCACATCTTTACTAATATAATAACATTGTCACAGCAGAAATTCCATTTAATTTATCCTCAAATTTGATAATGTGTGGAAATCAGGCATCATAAAAAGAAAAACACACTTAAATAAAAATTTAAGTATACTCTGAATATTATATAATATGGGTATATTCTTCAAGGCATCAGAAAAAGTCTTTCAGTTTTCATGTGTTTCCAATGGATACTTACTTTAGATGGAAATAGGTCCACAGCAATAGTGTAAGAAACAAAAAAGAAGAAAGAATCAGAATAACTCACCTTTGTGCATAAGAGTAGATCCATAATTGTCACGCTCATTAATATTGATGACTCCATCATCTACTAATTTTTTAAGTATTTCCAAATCACCTCTAAAGGCAGCCACATGACCTGGAAATTCTAAAACTAAGAATTAGAAAATAAAAGGTCAGCATTTCAACAAGCATATGAATTCATTCTTTCTCTTGCTTTTAAGCAGTTAAAATTTTTAAATTAAAAATTTCAGGTTTTGATGTTATCTCAAAAGTGATGCTGTTATGTTGGAGTCACTTAGGTTGACACAACGACAATAAAAAGAGAATGCTAAAATTATTACTAATTATGTAGCCCTTCCTTCCCTCAGGGGTCCTAGTGATACTGTGGGTAAAAGCATCTGACTACTAATAAAAATGTTGGCAACTGGATCCCACCAGCCACTCCACAAGAGAAAGATCCATATCCATAGATTTATGATCTCGGAAATCCCATCAGCAGTTCTTAGGTCACTATAAGTAAGTATTGCAATTAATGTCATAACATAATAATGTTAATTACAATACCCACATTTATGAGTAAGCAGTTACTCAACTAGGAAGAAGAGTAGGAAAACCGCTCTAAACCTCCAAGAGTCATGCTGAGATCAAGTGTGTCAGTTATACATCAACAGCAAAAGCCTGGATGTCACCCATGTCCTCCATATAGGGTGAATGGATAAATGTGGGATGGAATGAAGTACTTACTGATGTAAAAGTAGATGCACTACAGAGACATATCATAACACTAAGAGGCATAAATTTAGTCAAACATTCACTGCCATCAAGTTCGTTCTGACCTTTAAAAGCCCTCCATAGTGTTCCCAAGACTTTAAATGGCAAGGAGATCTTTCTCGCTCAGAGTAGCTGGTGCCTGTGAACTGCCAGAGCAGCTCAGCCTTTGGGCCGGCAGTGCAATAATAGACTCTACCACCAGAGGGCAGATCTTAGTAACAAAAAATTTAAGTGAAAAGAGATTTATGAAATTTCCAAAGATCACATGTACATCATATCCCTTAGTAAAATTAAAAAATACAAAAATTGCATGCCTGTACTTGTTAAAATATATGTAACCACTTGAAAAACAAAATTAAAATTTAAAGAGAAAGGAGGGACTGAAGAACATGCGGGTGGGGGAACAGGACATAGAGAGAAGGTAACAAAAAGCAAAGGCAGGCCACATGGGGCTTGCTTTCCATTCGAGGTGAAGTACAGATACAAGATTGTTATTGCTGTTGGTAGGTGCCAACAAGTCGAGAACGACTCATAGTGACCCTATGTACAACAGCCCTGAACCCTGTCCTAACCTGTGTCTTCCTCACCATCTCTCAACAACTTGAGTAACTGCTGCAGTCACCATATCAATCAATCAATCCACTTGGCCGAGTCAGGTCTTTCTCTCTTTAACCATGCTTCCACCTTTCCATGCATGGGGTCCCTTTCCAAAGGAGAAACTTTTCCTAGAAACATACCCAAAGTATGTGAAAGGAAGCTTTATTATCTTTGTCTCTAAAGGGCACTCTGGCTGCACTTCTCCAAGACATATCTGTTTGCTCTTTTGACAGTCCACATTCAGTACTCTTTTCCAGCACCACAGTTCAAAGGCATCAATTCTTCTTCTGTCTTCTTTATTCACTGTCCATCCCTCAGCTGCAGAGCAGGTGATTGAAAGCTCATAACCTGAATCAGACAAACTTTAATCCTCAGACAGACATCGCTGATTGCTCCTCCACAATTTAGAAGGCCCTGACGGCACACTTTCCTGACTGCAATATTTTTCCTGATCTCCTGACTGCTGGTACCAAGTGTGGATCCACTTACTTGTAGATCCAAGTAAGATGAAGATATTGACAGTTCCAGTTTTTCTCTATCATGATGTTGCCTATGGATCCAGGGGTGAGAATTTTTGTTTTCTTGACACTGAGATGCAATCCATATTGAAGGCTATATTCTTCATTCTTCCGCAGCAAGTACTAAAAGTCCTCCTCACTTTCAGCAAGCAAGGTTGTGTCATCTACATATTGAAGGTTACTAATTAATCTTCTAATCCAGATGCTACATTCTTCTTCATAGAGTCCAGCTTCTCAAATAATTTGCTCAGCATACAGATTGAATGAATAGGTATGAAGAAATTATACAACTCTGATGCACACATTTCCTAATTGTAAACCACGTAGTGTTCCCTTGTTCTGGTCACACAATAGCTTCTTGGTCTAGGTATAGGTTTTGCATGAGTGCAATTAAGTGTTCTGGGATTCCCATTCTTCTCATTGTTAGCCATAATCTGTTATGATTCACAGAGTCAAATGCCTCTGCATAGTCAATAAAGCACAAATGGACATTTTTCTGGTATTCTTCACTTTCAGCCAGGACCCATCTGTCATTAGCAACGACCTCTGGTGCCATGGCCTCTTCTAAATCCAATTTGAACATCTGGCAGTCTGTTTGCTCTAGTTCTTTTCAATGATCTTGATCAGTATTTTTATTGCATGTGATATCAATGATATCACCTCCCTTGGAAATGGCAACAAATATGGGTCTCTTCCAGTCAGCCATGTAGCTCTCCTTCAAATTTCCTGGCCTAAACTGGTTGAGCACGTCCAGGGCTACATCTGTCATTTGAAACCTGTCAATTGGTATCACATCAATTCCTGGGGCCTTACGTTTTGCCAGTGCTTTCAGTGCAGCTCGAACGTCATTACCATTGGCTCTTCATAATATGCTACTTGCTGAAGTATTACAGTATCTACCAACTCTTTGGGTACAGTGACTCCAAGTAATCCCTCCATCTTCTTTTGCTGCTTCTTGGATCATTCAAGATTTTGCCTATAGTACAGCATCTCTCAGTTTTGCAACACAATGTTTGAATTTGTTTTTCAGTTCTTTCAGCTTGAGAAATTGCTGAGCAAGTTCTTTGCTTTTTATACTCTAATTCTAGCTCACTGCACAGTCCATTATAATACTTTGTTTTGTCTTCTCAAGCTGCCCTTTGAAATCTTCTGTTCAGCTCTTTCACTTCAGCATCTCAATGCTCTAGTTCAATGTTCAGATTATTTTTTCTTTTTTTCAGATTATTTTCTGATATCCACTTTCATTTTTTTCTTTCATGATTAGAAGTTAAATCACAGTCAATAAAAATAGGTTGTGTATAAATATTTTAAGGAAGAATAACATATAAAGAACTCAAACATTTTAAAAAATACAAAGAATGCAAAATTTTACAGAAATGGTGGCATCTTAACTCTTACTTCAAGGCCAGATCCGATAAGGTCATAAATGCCCTGTATGCTCGAAACCATTTATTACTAACTCTTATACAAACCATCCAACCCATACAGTACATTCTACTTCTCATCTAGGTTCATTAATTTGATGTAACAGCTACATATACCTCACAAACAATAAGTAAGGTAATTGTAGCAAGCTTAAAATTCAGATCTAGGCACAACTCAGAATACAGTTTTTCAAGTTTAAGGCAGCATCTTTTCTGCTATACAGGATGAGCAGGTCATTCTCTAGCCCTCAGCCTATTGCCCTGGCCTCTACTCTGCTCAAGCAAATGCTATAAAACTCTTTTAACTCAGCTGGTAAAGTGTCCCCAAAATATCTCACTCTGCTAGTAAGCCTAGGCCTGCAGGTACTCAGGTCTAGCTTCACTCATGGGCAACAAAACTAGCTTCTTAACAAATGCCCAAAGGCACCCCTCCACCAACAAGGCTCCCACCTATAAACACTTCTCACTCTTTAAGCAGCCACTGCTATACACGAACAATGATAACCTAAGAAAGACTGCACAGGGCAGACCCACTCTCCACAGCAGGCTGTCACATCAGAGAAATAAATTTTCATTTTGTTTGTTGTTTTTGTTACCATAAAGTCAAGCACAACTCACCAGCAACTCTATGAACAAAAGACCTAATGCGTTTCCATAACTATCATCATTTCTCCAAGTTCATAGAGTTTCCAGAAGCATGTGGTTTAGGAAGTGGATGCCACTCTTGCTTCAAAACCCGTCTTACAACTTGGAGCTCCACCAAACACTGTCCACACATTGGGAAACCATTCTGGTATTTGATACCCCAGTGGCACAAGGTTCAGTATCACAGCAAACCCAGGGTACTTCATACAGTACACTGACAAAGAGTGATGTACAAAGTAGAAGAGTGTTTCTCCAGATATAACAGCACTAGTCTCATTTAACAGTGGTTAAGTGTTGTCGAGTCGAATACGACTCAGAGTAAGCTTTGCACAAAAGTCACTAAATTTTAGGATTTCTTAGTTACAAGGGCTATTTAAAAAAAAACCAACCCAAACCATATATATTTTTGTGCGTACATATCCTATGTAACTAATTCATAAAACCAAAGAATGTGATGATAAATCCAAAACAATAATCAACTCTGAAAGGGAAGAAAAAAGAATGATCTTTGGGAATTAAATGAAGGACCTACAACTGTGCATTATAGAATTCCAAATATAAACAATGTTGATTATATTAATGTCTCCATATTTGTGGCTAAAACATTTCATAATAGAGAAAACAATCTGCATTAATGAGTGGACAATGGTATGTAATAGATTTTATTAACATTGACTCATAACTCCTTCCACTTCCTTTTCCATTGATTCTGTTATATGCTACAATACTGGGGATCTATTATTTACCTTCCTGATCTTCCGAACCACTTCGTTCATATTCAGCCCCATGGATAAATTGTAAGATGTTATCTTTAAAGAATCTCTGGGCCAGGTCCAATACATTTTCTCCATTATCATTGAAGGCTTTTAATGCTTGTGTTACACTGCTCATTCTACTGAGTAGAAATTTAAAACAGTGAAGGTGGCCTGCCATAGCTGCTAAGTGAACTATAGATAAAAGAAGGGGGGAAATGTAAATAGAAATTAAAGTAACTTTAAAAATACAATGGCTCTAAGTTTTAGAGAAGTAATTATTCCTGCCTCAAACCACAGATCAAAGAGAATAAACATTTTTTCTAATCTGTATCATCTTTCTCTAGTCACTTCTGTTGTGGTGGTAGTGGTATACCAATCGAGTCAGAACCAATTCATAGCTGATCTTCCTCCAGCAGGTTACAAGAGATAGTTTAATCTAATGGGAGGAGATTGCCCATCTTCCTCCTTCAGAGCAACTGGTAGATCTGAACCCTGTGCCTTTAGAATTGCAGCACAGCTCCTGACCAGTAGGCAACCAGAGCTCATTATTACTGCTGTTAGGTGCCATCAAGTCAGAACAGAATCATAGCTGATCCACCAGCAGGTTTTCAGAGACTGTAAATCTCAGGGAGGAGACTGACCATCTTTCTCCCAGGAAGCAGCAAGTGGACTGGAACATTAGCCACTGGATTGGCAGCACAATTCCTTACCACTAAGCCACCAGAGTTTATCAAAAGGACACTAAATTATTGCATAGATGCACTTACATTGAGTTTTCAGAGACAAGCAGAGTTACCAAAGAAGAAGTCTAATATACTCACAATCTTAGAGAGGTTTTAGTTCATAGAGTTGCTATGAGTCATAGTAAACACAACACCATTAGTATGTGCTGTAAATATATCTATATATATAGCAGAGCAAAAGGAGGCAAAGTTAAATCAACTTCTCAATCATTACAAAACACTCTAAGGGAATGAGTTGGGGTTACAGGGCCATAGTCTCAGGGGATAAAAAAGATAATTAACAAAATATAGTCCACAAAAACAATGTTCTAAAAAAAAACAAACAATGTTCTGTTTTGGCAAGTACCAACAGGGGTCTTCAAAGCACCCACGCAGCCAGCTAAAGTGCTCACCTGTTAGAACAAAGAAGAAAGAAGAAAGTGGAGATGCACAGAAATAATTAATGTAAAGGTGTAATGGACTATATGGATGTCAATTTGTTGTAAACATGAGACCAAAGAACTAGCTGGTGCTCAGTTACCACCATTGACCACTCTAAACTGGATCACAGCAAAATATTCTGGATAGAATATGGAGAAATATGGCACAAAACCTTCTTTTTTAAAAAAAAAAGTCAGGCTTATCTTGTTGGTCATAAAACGATTGGTAACTCTCTCTCTCTCACACACACACCCCAACTATCACCCTTGGCCACCTTTCGCCTTTTGAATCTGAAACCACATTTGCTCCCCTCACCAAAAGCCCAGACACCTTTAATCTCCCCTTACACCCTCCTCCATGGCTCAACTTTCAGCCAAACAATGGACAGGCCTCTAAGTGGCACAATAACACCAGGGAGTCACTCATACTTTAGAATAACCAACCACATACGGTCAAATGAGCAACATTTGCCAAGGACAAATCTGAGAACACAGAAATAGGATGGATTAATGTTAAAGTGAATCAAAGGAAAGATGTGGGAAGTATGGTTATATTGCAGGTATTTTAATTGATGTTTTAAAATAAAAATAGTTGAGTGCTTTGTAAACTTTCACTCAAATCACTGTGAAACATTTTTTTAAAAAGAGCAAATGCAAGGAAATTCTCTTGGAAACTGAAATCTCAATTAATGCTTAGAATTATAAGAGGAAATACTAGTTATATAAGTAAAAAGTAAATAAAATTTAATATATTGTCAATACTGGAACAAACCAAGATAGTCACTATGCAGATACGAATTATGTTCTTTGTATCATTAATGCATTTTTAAGTCCTTGGTAGTCCTTTATTATTTTTACTATATGACAAAAGCTCTAGTGGCCTAGTCCGTAAGAGTTTGTACTGCTAACACAAAAGTGGCACTTCTCTGGCAGCTTGAATACACTGTGGCTCCAGACAGAATCTCCTCTCACACAATTTATCACCTCTGAAAATCCAATGGAGGATCACCTATGAGGAAGGTCCAATTGGACAACAATGAGAGTTTTGAGTTGTATGATAAGAAGCTTGAATCAAAATAGGAGACTAATATCATCACTTTGACCCATCTTCTAAGCAAACAGTATTGTTTTTTGTTGTGTACCATTGAGTTATAACTGATGCAAAAATGAGGGGCAGGGTTTCAGAGGCTGAAAATCACATGATAGGAGAATGCTCATCTTTCTCCTGTGGATTATCTGGAGGACTCGAACAACATGTCTTTGGGTAGGCAGTACAATCCTTACCACTAGGGCAGCAGAGTTCCCTGGGGACGATCTGGCCATGATATCTGTCACACCGCTGAAGGCCAGGGTTGATTTGGCTGACCTGGCTGGCTAGGTGGGTGTCCCCTTCCTCCACTACCCCTCTATGTGTGTCCCTCCTGAAGCAATACATTCAGTTGAAGAGAATGACCTTCTCCACAGAAGGAAGACAATCCTTCAGTCAAGAGTAGACAAATAGCTGCACTCCCCTGCTAAACCCTCTAAACAAGCTCTCCAGTCAAACAAAAGACAAGTTTATGAAATGATGAATTTCACAGGAATCTGGGGGATTGCAAAATGCACTTCACAATAGAATCCACCACACAAGATCAAAAAGGATACCTATGTCCAAGGGTGAAGTTCAGAAGCCAAGAAAGGACAGGATGAACATAAACAGGCAACACAGGCCGAAAGTAGGAAGACTGTTGTTACAATGTGGGGATTGTAATCAGTGCCACAAAACACAATATGTATGAATTATTAAATGGAAAACCAGTTTGCTCTATAAAATGTTACCTAAAGCACAATAAAAATGAAACAAAAGCAATAGAACACTAAGTATACCCCAATCCTTAAAAACAGCAGAAAAGCTGTTGTTAGGTGCCATCAAGTTGTAGACGACTCATAGTGACCCTATGAACGGAAGACCAGAGCACTGTTCATAGAGTTTCTGGAGGCAAGCCATTTTGGAAGTGGATGCCACTCCTGCTTCCAAGCTTGTTTTCATTGGGAAGCTCCAGGAAACACTGCCCACCATGGGTGACCACTACCACGTTTGGCACATCAGTGTCACAGAGTTTAGCATCACAGCAATCACGAGTTACCTCTGTACAGCAATGCACAGACCAGTGCTATACCACCTAGAAGAATGTTTGACAAAAAAAAACAAACAAATGTGAATCAGGCCTGAGGGCCACAGATTAAAATCATCCACCTTGGGCTTGGTAGCATAACTTTCTGTCCACTAGGCCAACATAGCTCTCTCTATGCTGTCGTTGTTATTGTTGTTAGGTACCATCGAGTCATAGATGACTCATAGCGATCCTATGGATATAGAGTTTCCAGAGGCAAGCCATTTCGGAAGTGGATGCCACTCATTGTTGATGTAGTCACCTGCAACTCCTAGCAACCCTATGTACAATAGCCCTAAACTCTGCTCTATCCTGTGCCAATCTCACTGTCTCCGACACACCTATCCCCATTACCCCAGTCATTGAATCAATCCACTCATAGAGGGTCTTCCTCTCCTGTGCTGTCCCTCCACTCTCCCAAGCATGACATCCTTCTCCAAAGACTGGTCCCTCCTTGCAACATGTCCAAACTATGTCAGACAAAGTGTCAGAAACTTTGCCTCCAAGGAGCAGCCTGGTTTAACCCTCTCCAGGATGAACCTGTTTGTTTTCTTAGCAGTCCATGGTACATTCAATACTATTCTCCAACACCACAGCTCAAAAGGTATCAATTCTCCTTCTATCCTCCCTATTCACTGTCCAGCTCTCTGATGCACAGCAAGTGACTGCAAAGAGCATAGCCTGTATCAGGCTCACCTTAGTCTCCAGAGTGACAGCAGCAAGGATGGTGAAGCTTAGTCTCACGTACCTTGGGATTATTAAAATGAAGAGCCAGATCTTGGAAAAGGACATCAGGTTGGCAAAGGTAGAGTCAGAGAAAGAAAGGAAAACCCCCAGACAAGATGGTCTACATAGTGGTTCTAACAGTGAGCAGAAGAATGTCAGAGATCTACAGGATGGAAGAAGGCTCAGATCTGTTCTTCTAGGGCTGCTATGAGTCACAGTCCATTCACTAGTACCTAACAAAAAATTTCATATGCATCATAAGCAAAAGCTGGTTAGAATCTAACTGTAAAAGCTGCTGTTTACTGATCACCACCCAGTTATTTTTTGTTGTTTGGGGTTTTGTTTTTTGTGGGTTTTTTTGGCTGAGTATAGTGTGCCTTCTTGATGGTACATGACAAGACGGGCTCTCTAAGCCCCTGCCTTTTCTCAGGGGGACTGGATAAAATTGTGTCAAGGATGTGAGATTCTCAGTGTGCAGAAAGATCAAGTTGGGGCAAGGATTCCCCAGCAGCTGAGGGTCTTTCTCTTCCAGTGCTATCGCTTGGGCTCTTATTCTATGGTGATCATGTGAACCATCAGTTCAACCACCTAGTTGCTAGGTCCAAATTCATTGCCATACCAGAAGAAGAGTATGACAAAGTGGTCATTCAGGGCAATGCCAGTCCCAGCATCAAAGGTGGAAGACTGGGTGTCACAGTTAAAGTCACAGAAGATAACAGGGGCCCTTCTGCTGCCTGCTTACTACTTTCCTGATGTCATCATCATGTGGCAGCTTTCTCCACATAGCAGGACAGATCCACAACTAACATATTGAGGGTGGAGACATGGAAAGCCATACCAGTAAATTTCCCATTCAGCTCAGGGATAACCTTGCCCATAGTCTTGGCAGTGTCAGTAGATGCAGGGATGATGTTCTGGGCAGTTCCATGGCCATCACGTCACAACTTTCCAGAGGGTCCTTCCACAGCCTTCTGGGTGGCAGCAGACTGTGGCCATGAGTCCCTCTCCAATGCTAAAGTTGTCATGGATGACATTAGCCAGGGAGGTCAAGCAGTTGGTGGCACAGGAGGCACTGCTGACAATCTGAGAGAGCTATCATACTTCTCATGGTTCACGTCCCTCACAAACATAGGGGCACTGGCAAAAGGAGCACAGATGATTACCCATTCAGCACCACCCTTCAAGTGAGCCCCAGCCTTCTCCAAGGCAGGGAAGACACCAGTGGACTCCACAACACACCCAGCACCAGCATCACCCCAAATGATATTGGCGGGCTCTCACTCCTGCAAGAAAGTGATGCCTTTTCCATTGATAACCAGCTTCCCATTCTCAGTTTTGACAGTGCTATTGAATTTGCCATGGGTGGAATCACACTGGAGCATAAAGACCATGTAGTTGAGCTCAATGAAGGAATTACTGATGGCAGCAACACCTTCTTTGCCAGAGATAAAAGCAGCCCTGATGACCAGGTGTCCACTGTGGCCAAATCTATAAACTCCAACATTTACCATCACGTCTCAGGGATGCAGCTGAGGCTGCACAAGAAGAGAGGGCTGTCTGTCCATCCAAAAGGAGTAGAGAGCCTATCTAGTTGCTTTTGACTCACAGAAACCTATTTACAACAGACAGAAACAATGTCTAGTCCTGCTCTATCCCCACAATGCCAAATTTGAGCACAATGTTACAAACTCTGTGTTAGGCTTTCTCTTTTGAGTGTTTTCACATTTTTGCTGACTCTCTAGTTTACTAAGATTTTATTACTCTTGATTGCATGTCTAAAATAAGTTAAATAAAGTCTCATCATTTTCCCTTAAAAAACTCATTATGGCTGCATTTCCTCCAAGAGGAGTTTTGATTGTTCTTAAGACAGTCCAGGCATACTGTCCACATTCTTTGCCAATACCATGATTCAAAGGCATCAATTCTTCCTCAGTCTTATTAATTGTCCAGCTTTTGCATGTATATGAGGTAAATGAAAACACCATGGCATGGGTCAAGTGCACCTTAGTACTCAAAGTGTCATCCATGTTTTTGAATACTTTAAGTAAGTCTGTTAACAGGTATGATCAAAACAACTATGAGGTATCCTCTCACCCCAGTCAGAATAGCAAAATTTAACAGAACAGCAAGCAACACATGCTGGTGAGGTTGTGGAGAAACTGGAACTCTTATTCACTGTTGTTGGGGTTTTAAAATGGTACAACCACCGTGGAAGGAGGTATGGCGCTCTCTCAAAAAGTTGCAAATAGAGATACTATTTGTCCCAGCAATTCCACTACTGGGAATATACCCCAAAGAGACCCATAAATGACATCAAGCAGATATATGAATATCCATGTTTATCACAGCTATGTTCACAATAGCAAGGTGCTGGAAACAACCTAAGTGCCCATCAACAAATGAATGGATAGAAAAGCTGTGGTATATTCACACAGTGGAATACTACACTGCACTGAAAAACAAGGAACTCATGCAATAATATTCAAGATGGGTGACCCTGGAGGACATTATGCTGAGTGAAGTATTTCAGTCACAAAAAGCAAATACTGCGTGCTCGCTTCAGCAGCACATATACTAAAAAAGCAAATACTGCATGGTGCCACTGTTGTAAAACAGGACAGACCTCGGGTTTGGGGAAAGACTGAGAAAGATGGGTTCAATAATGTATACTAAACTGAAACAGATGAGGGAGAAAACTGCTTAAAATGGATATGTGATTAGGTATTTTTGTCATGACAGAAGTCCAGAAAGAAGGCTGCGTGGAGTGGACCTGGGGGAGGGTTTGTAAAACAATGAAAGAAGTTTTCTTTTACTTTTCTAAGAGGGTAGTGTATTAGGGGGGAGGGTTGGGAGGGAAGAAAAGTACAATAATGAATGAATGGAAATCTAAAGTCTCTGTAAATTTTCATTGAAATTAATAATAAATTTTTTAAAAAGAGAGGAAAAAAAACCAGATATGATCAACACAACACATCCACTGAGTAGAGGTTAAGGTGACCAATGCAGGAGCTGCCTACTTTTAAAAAAGATTAAGAATGTAATCAAGCCAAAAGGACACCATCCTATGGATGGGGCGGGGTGAGGGGGTACAATATGTGAAAATGTACAAAATCTAGATTCTCCCAATGACACTGCTTTCCAATAGGGATGTGGTCTTGTAAACAAGAAGGGTCAACAACAAGACAAAACACAGTAAACAACACCTTATTTTGTGACCCTAGTCAACATGCTTTTCCATTTGTAAAACCTCCTCCCAGAAGAGCTGTGGGTGAGCATTAACATTACTGGTAAGAATATTCGTTTTCTCCTGGACACAAGAGCCTACTATTTGGTCCTAAAAGCCTTCTGAAGTCCCCACTCTTCTCACTATTTCTTAGTTGTTGGAATTGACGGAAAACCTTATAAGCAGTTCCTTACTTCACCTCTGCCTTGCATGCGGACTTCCAAGCTATAAAACAACCCAGTGGTAGATGGAATTTGGTCCAGGACTTAAGATCAATAAATGACATAGTTGAGCTTCTACATCTTGTGGTTCCTAACCTTTATACTATAATAGACAAAGTGCTAGTCAATAGGCCTTTTCTTTTAAGAACTTCCTTCCCTCTGTAACTTAATTTGTGCCATTGTTAGAACCTTTACTTGGAATATTATTGCTTTTAATTTTTAACTCATGTACTTTTAATTTGCTAGTTAAATTTGTATCTTCTAAGCTGTAACAATTCCATGATACATCTTCAAGGATATGAACATATACAGCTAAGCACAATTGATAACAGTGCATCTAAATTCCAAAATCAATCTCCACAATAGTCTACATGTTTCCTATTGCCAAAGGGGCCCTTTAGAGTAGTGAGAGAAGATCTTCACCCTGAAACCTACAGCATCCCTTTTCAGCAGGAAGAAGCTAAGAGAATACGCCATCCCCTTTTCCTTATGAATGAGGGTGAAGTCTCTCTCAGGGAGGAGTGATAGGGAATGGCAAAGGACACACTGACAAAGGAGATTAATCTGAACTGGCTTTGACAAGCACTGTGGCAATGGGACAATTAAAACAGACTTTCAGGGGGGAGAAAAAAGAGGAACAAACTGGGGTGGAGGATAGAGAAAATAGTGCAACAATGAATGAATGGAAACCCAAAATCTCTGTAAATGTTCATTAAAATTAATAAAATTTAATTTTTAAAAAAAGCTATAAGGACAACAACTTGAAAGGACACTCAACTGATACTTCCTCTCCCCTTACCCTTTTACTAAAAAAAATCTTAACTAGTTGAATCTGTCACATACAAAATCTTAAGTAGTTCATTCCGTCACCAGAATTTTTTTAGCTGTTCTGCTAGTCAGAGAAGTACAATCACTTGCTTTGCATCAGTGAGCTGGACAATGACTAAGGATGACAGAAGAAGAATTAATGCCTTTGAGTTGTGGTGCTACAAAATATGACAAGATTTATGATGAGAAAAAATATGCAAATAAATATATTCACTAGTTTTGTAAAGAACTAGTAGAATGAGGATAGTTTAAATTCCTTAAACATGTACATTTAAAAGTTTTTTTTAATGAAGATCAAAAATATTTGCTTTTGCTGCATACCTGGAAGGTTTCCATTGTAGTCCACATCTTCTATGCCACATCCCCATTTAACAAGAAGTTGTAAACAGCCAAGCCTCCCATGAAATGCCGCATAATGTACAGGCTTCCATTCTCTCTTATCAGCTACACTGGGGTCCTAGAGGTAACATTTATAAGAACTCTCTTTCTGTTTAGTAAAGGAAACACTAAATCTAGCAGTTTAATTCTACAAATGGAAAATTTTCTTAAAACTCAAAAGACAAAGAATAAATATAAAAAGTGGATGTGTCTTTTGACAACTAGGGAATACCAAAAAGAAATACTGTAATAAAGACAGGGAGTGTCTACATCTATATAAATCATTTGTTAAATTAGTGCACAAAATAAGATAAACAGGTAGATACAGAAAATTATTAAAACAGATTTTCAATACTCTTGTAAAAATTTGCTTAGAAGTTTTAGAATCTTCCTACTTGAACTCTGAAGTGATAGGAAGAACCCAAAACAACTGAGTTAATTCCAACTCAGAACAACCCTCCACGAGGCTTCCAAAACTGTAAATCTTTAGTAGATGAGACTGCCCTTCTTTCTCCCATTAAATAGCTTGTAAATTCAAACTGCTGGTATTTTGGTAATACATCATATTACCAGAGTTTCTTGAAGAATGAACCCCAAGTCCCTGAAATGGTTTGTACTACTAATTTGCTTTCTTAGGAGATTAATATATTTGTAAATTCACTTGAATTATTGTATCCATATTTTTAAAATATTAAATCACTTCTCAAAACCGATATAAGGGTTGTTGGGGTATTTTTAATTTTGTTTGTTTGTTTTATTATTTTTTTGTGTGTATCGTCAAATCGGATCTGACTGGTACAGGAGGAGATTGCCCCTCCTCCTTCAGCAGAGCATCTGGTGGATTTGAATCATGTACCTCTGGGATTACAGTGCAGCTTCTTGCCACTAGGCCACCAGAGCTCCCAATAATATATAAGGGGTTTTTTTAAAGCCAGGAAGAAGTAAACAGACTGAAAAATCCTCTTCCATCTGTATGATTACATATTCTCATGTATTAACAGGAACTTCTCACCACTCCACTTCGGAGCATTATTTGTAAGGTGAAAGAATGTCCATGAGCTGCAGCAAGATGTAAAGGATTGCATCCACGATAATCCTGAGCTGACAGATCTGCTCCATTGATTATAAGTGCCTAAAATTAAAGGGGAAAATTTCAATATCATCACCATCTCTGAGGAATAAAGAGCTAATGA